CACACACACACACACACACATACATGCCCGCGCACGCACACACACATACACACATATTAAAACACACACGTACACACAGACAAATCCACACACGTGCATTTATAATATACAAAATTTGTACAAACACACACGGAAAGAGAAATCGAGTGAAAGAGACAGAGAAAAAGAGAATTAAAACAGAGAGAGAGGGGGAACACAGAGAGAGAGTAGGGAGAGAGAGTGGGAGAGAGGGAAGAGAGAGAGAGAGAGCGAAAGAGAAAGAGAGAGGGAGAGAGAGAAAGAGAGAGAGAGAGAGAGAAAGAGAGAGAGAGAGAGCGAGAGAGAGAGAAAGAGAGAGAGGGGGTGGGGGGAGAGAGAAGAGAGATGTGAATGGAGAGATTTGCAGGGTCCACAACATGTTCCCACCTGCACGTAGTTTCCCTATCTCCTTCCTGACCGACCCGGCACAATGCAAAATCGCATCTACAGCAAACGAACAAACCCGTACAAACCCAACAAATCATGACCCTATACCTGCACCACGTCAGCTAATGGCGTGCCAGTGTCAGGAAGGCGAAGAATGATTTCAAATCGTTACGCCCATGAAACCCAAAGCTCAATCCTAAAGTCCCCAACTACGTCTGGGCTTGACGAACACCAGTGTCTGCGTGACGTCACCGATCGCCCCGGAGAAAGGCGTCCAGTTAAAGAAGATTGATTCCCTCCCTTGAGAGCCGAGGCCTGCTACCTTTGCCTCTGGGGTGTACTGTCTGTGGAACGCTGCTATGAGCCGAGACGGCTTATACTATACCTCAGGGGACCCCGTCTAGCTGTCCAGCTATCGGCCCTTTTCGTAAGCTGATAAGCCATCACTTTTCACCCACATGTTGTATTTCCTCTATTGGTCTATCTGGTTATTTTTGTGCACGTATTTGCAAATTCACAAAAATTATTTTGTCTGCTCTTTAGTAGTAGTAGAGATAATGAATGATATTATTAATATTATATTGGTTCTTACACCACACACTCCACTGAAATTTTAACTAATACTCTCTCTCTCTCTCTCTCTCTCTCTCTCTCTCTCTCTCTCTCTCTCTCTCTCTCTCTCTCTCTCTTCATTTTGAGGTGGGGGGTTTTTCTTTTTCTTTTTTTTATTGCTTAAAATTTCATGTTGGATAAAAAAAATTAGTCTGTGACCTATGTTTCCCCCATACAATTGTGTCTGTGGTTATCTAATGGCTACAAACACCATGATTTAGGGCCGTAAATTAGACGGCCTGTTACGTTGGGTTGGTAATAAATAAATAAGTGAATTTTAAAAAACGGACAAATTGATAAATGAAAGTATGACAAAATGAACTAAAAAATGAATACGTTACTAACGTAGAAATATAATCAAAAGCGTTATTCTATGAATGAAAAAAGTACCAGAAGTTGTACTTTGATCGCATTCAGCAACGCATTAAGTTTCTAAAGTGTTAGCAACATCGTGATACATAATGTACCACATTTCACACAGCAGCGGCAGGACCACACCGGCTCCACACGTAGGAAAGCCATAGATCTATAATGATAATTACATGACAAATTACCATCTTAAATCCGTGCCATAGTTCTATGACCTAACGTACAGGAAACTCTTCTCCCCGCATATATAATAAAACCATGTCAGTTTATCTTCATCAGATGCGCTCGTTCCTCTTTTTCGAACGCTCTAGCAATTATGCTGGGACCTTCGGGCGACTCACGATCGAGCGGAAAGGGGGAAAAAGAGGGGGG